ACTGATTTATGTAGTTATCATTTTTCTGATTGTTGGAAGCAGCCCCAAAGCCCTTTGCTGTCATCTGTGACTAACCTGTTAAACTGGTTTTTCACAGGCAGAAAAGGCTAAGTGGGTTAATCCTTTATATTTCCTAAAGAATATAAAGGGTTTTTTTAGCCACGCCTCTTAATAATCTTGACAACTAAACAAGATTTCACAAAGCAGATTCCAAGCCTCTCATACTTGGGAGTGAAGGCTACATTAATTGGCTTTATGGAATCACTGTTTGGAAGGCATAAAGCAGAACTGGTTTTAAATTCAAAGATTTTTACCTCACTTCTGTGCCTCAGCACTTTTGAAAGTCTGCAGTATAGCTTTTCTCTAAGTTCTTCTTTTTCTTATCTTCAACAGTTGGATTCATCTAAGCCAGAAATGGCAGAAGGTAACTGGGATCCGCTGACACATCATTTTGTAGTAGATCAGACCAAGAATTTTTGACTGGTAAAAATGAAGTTTAAAAGAGTTCTCTGCTTTGGCTGTCCTCGTGTCAATTAACTATGTCCCAATGTCCTTTTTTGGTAGTTTCCTTTGGTTAAATTAGTTCTGCTTGCCAATTAATTTGTTGCCTTTGAATACATCTTTGTGTAGCTTAAGCAGCCAATTTTAGAACTAATCCTTCCAAAGTACATTTTATGGGCCGCAATAGAGTTCCACTGGTGAAACGTAGGCATTGGAGCAGATTTTGGAAACTGATAGACTGGGAGTAAAATATGTGTTTCCATGAGCGGAAGACCAGCTGTGCAATACTCAGAAGTCTCCCTATGTTTCAAATAACCATAAACCTCTGAAGGCAAGGAAATACAAGGAAGGACCACTAAAGAGCATCTTATCTGCTGGGTTGATCAGTCTTCTTACCTCACAGCATTAACTCAGCTGTAACTCACTTGCAAAATTCCTGTTTGTCCTTGGCACTTTGATTATCAATTATCACATGTAGCAAGTTTAAGAAAGGCTGATGCATGACACCTAACAGCAGCGGTAGGCATACCTTTTAGACCAGTGAGCACATCAGGAATTTTGACAGCACTTTTTTATAACTGTTCACAGAAAATGGCTGCCATGAGAAGGGACATAAGCAGATAGAGAGGTAACCTGTCCAAATTGGCTCTGTTTACAAGATGTATGCTGGTAATGCATTGCAAGATCTGTTTTAGAGGGCAATGAGCTGGCATAAGATAGCGCAGCAAGGAAACAGAGAAGAAGATTGGCTATTCTGATACTAATGAATAAGATTCAACCATCCAATATATATTGGAGATTTGCAAACTGAAGGTGGACACTACTTTGATTTTTGTCTCCAGCAGCAAACGTCTGGAATCAAAGCAGCACATATATTAATGCAGTGTTTTTCAAACTTGACAACTTGAAGATGTATGGACTTCAACTTCCAGAATTCCCTAGCCAGCCTTCCCCACCATCCCCCCAACCCTTAAATGTACAAGTTAATAAGACTCCCTCAGTTGCTTTGTCATCAATATTCTACGATATTCTTCCTTTCATGAACAATTGCATGATATAATATAATCATTTAGAACCAGATATATGATGAAGTCATTCAGCTAATTCAGAGTGGAAGTCTTGCTTTCTGCTACTATTCTGAGTGGATAATACATCTTCAATCAGATTTGGCTAATGATAAATCTTAAAGTAATTGTTAGTGAAAACAGTACTTTTGTTTCCTCCTATGAATCAGCAAATGTTTTTATGACTGTGCAACCACACATAAATACACATTGTCAAGGCAGATAGGAGAAATGTGGGGACAAGGTTCACCAACCTGTTCTCTCCCATCCAGACCTTACAGCCTCCAGGCACCGGGACAGAAAATCGACTGCATTTCTTCTACAGTTGGTTGCGGGGGGGGGGGCAATTTATTATTGGGTATCATCAGCATATTAATGCATAATGTCAGATGACATCCCCCATCAGTTTCATATAGATGTTAAAAAACTGGGTGGGAGGACTGATCTCTGCAATATCCCATAAGTCAGGAGCTACTGGGCTGACCTTACATCCCTACCTAGACTGAAAATCTCCACTGGGGAAGTAGCAGAACCATTAGACAGTGCCTCTTATTTCCAATTCCATAGTCAGTCCACTAAAATACTATAGTTGATGGTACTGAAAGCCACCAAGAGATCTAAAAGGACCAGGAGAGGTGCACTACTCTCATCAAGATTCCAACAAGGTCATCCAGGAGAGTGACCAAAGTGCTCTCAGTCTTACACCCAGGTCTAAAAAGGGTCCAGATGACCTACTTCTCCTAGGATGTTGCACAAATCTGCCACCGCTGTCTTATCAACCTTCCCCTGAAAAGGCAGTCTGGAGACTGGCCAGTAGTTATCTAGGACCACAGGATCCAGAGGTAGCCTTTTTAAAATAGGAAAAACCACTGACTCCTTCAAGGCTGCTGATAGTTCCCCCTGATGCAGGAAGGCATTAACAATCTCATGGATCCAGATGGCCACTTCTCCACCTTAACAGGCAGTATGGTCAGGGGTCCAATCTCCATGTGGCAGAGGACAATCTATCCACTTCCTTGGAGGTCATGGGCCAAAAGGAGTCCCAGATAATATGGCAAGATTCTTCTTGACTACCAAATCAACATTTTGGCAAATCTGAGCAACTTGGTCAGCAAAATGTTGTGTAAGTTGATCACTGTGATCAGGTGGGAGATATATATATAATGACACCTCCCTAAAAGGGAGTTGGCTACCCTGAGCAAAGTCACTGGATGACAACTCACCAACACAGTAAGAGAGGAGAAGCAAGCCAGGTTTGTCTCCCGTATCACCATAGTGTAGGCTCAAAATGAGCATGTATCTGTGCATGCTTGGATTCATTTTTGTCTTTTTCCACCAGGGCTCCAGGCATTGTTTCAGGCATTTCATTTCTCAGAAGACCTCAATAAACCATTGCACCAACCTGAATTGGTACCCAGAAAGAAGCTGTGTGGGGACAAGAGAGTCCAGTGCCTGACTTGCCTCCAGTTGCCAGGCACTGAACCAGACCACCCACCAGGGAGCTGGTAAACTCCCCAAAAACTCTGGAAACCAAGAGAATCCTGAGGCAGGTCATCCAAGCTGATCCTGCTGCCCCATAGAAGTCATCAGTGGCTTTCCATCAAAACTAGAACAAGGTGTGATTTGAACATGACAACGGAGTGGTAGAAATTCCCTCCATCTCCAAATTACTCAACATCTTCTTCAAGACAAAAACAAGTTCTAATGTACAACTGCCTACATGTATTGGGCCTGAGGTTATCTGAGACAAGCCATAATCTCCCTGGCCTTACCAAATCCATTCTCTACAGCATGGAGGCTGAAGTTCCCCAATACCAAAAGGCGGAGGTTCTCCACCACAAGCTCAGAGACCAGCTCCAGCAGCCTGGAAAGGATCTCACTGGGCAGCAGGGCAGCTAGTACAGCAGTAGGATCCCAAGCTTGTCTCTATAGCCCAACCTAACATAGGGGCACTCGCATCCTCATATTTTAGGAGCAGAGTCCCTGATCATAAATAAGTCTCACAATCAAGGCAAACACACACACATACAAACCTTGGCAGTTTTCAGACAAGGCGACATCAGTGCTGCCTCACCCACCACCAAGTCATGGACGAAGGTTGTCTTGTTGCAAATGGACTTGGCATTAACCTGGGTTTTTACTGACCAATATTTCTAGGTTGTGTAATTGTGTCTTTCCCCAATGTGGGTTCTTAATGCTTTTATTGTTACAATTTTTTCCTCTGTTATTGTTTTAAATTGCATTAATTTATTGTTGTACGTCACCTAGAGCTGCTGTGGCAACTGAGGTGGCTTGTAAATAAATAAATCAGTAAATCAGTAAAATGAGAATTAACAAGTCCTTTACAATATTGATTTGAACATTGCAATGGCTACCATTTTATTTATTTATTTTACTTTCTACTTTCAAGTCAGTCTTATCTCCTGGCAACTGCCTAGACAAGTCCCTGCAGTTTTCTTGCCAAGATTTTCAGAAGTAGTTTGCCACTGCCCTCTTCCTAGAGCTGAGAAAAAGGGACTGGCCCAAGGTCACTCAGATGGCTTTGTGCCTAAAGCAGGACTAGAACTCACAGTTTCCTGGTTTCTAGCCCACTGCCTTTAAGCACTACACCAAACTGGCTATCTATCACAATTTTATTATTTACTATTAAAATAAGATTTTGCCCTTCTGCAAATTACATATTTAGCATGTAAGTCTAATTGATATCTTCCTCAATTTGATTAGTAGAAACTGTTTAATTGGTAGGAAGTTGGATAGAACTTTTGACTTGACAAAATAAAGGTGAACCACAAAATTATGAAATAACAGAAAGTGTCAGATTAAGAATGAGAAAACAAGTTGCACTGGTGCATAATGCTGAATCCAGAGCATTATTTCTACTCCCTATAATTCTACCACTATTGACAGAAAGATCTGAGACCAGAGGAATTTTTTCATTTAAAATTCTGCAAAGCTCAATATTTGTTAGGATGAACAAGAGGAAGAAACGGCATTTTGTTTTCCTTTGCCAGCTAGTCTATAGTTATTACACACAAATGAACCTCATTTATTTGCCCTAGTTTCTGGATTACTATAGATTTGTTACTGATTTAGGGGATCAGTAAGTATGTAGGTCCAGTGACTCTCTGGGCACACCCACAAAACACTTCTTAAATGCTCCTAGCTCTCTTCTCTGATCTCAGAGTTTTGGCAGTAGGGAATTCAAATTTTGGGCTTACACCTTAATAACTGAGCAGTGACTAAATGTATGCCAAAACCCGCTGGGAAGGTATTCCAGGGATCATAAAATTGCAGCCTTAATCATAGAAGTCAATATCTGAAAGAAAGAAAAATCACATCCTCAGCTGTTAGTTACCACATGTACCAAATTCCTCAATGGAGAGAAATCAATTGATGTCAATGTATATTTGCAACAGTTCAGAGTCATGAACTTACCTGCAGAGTTCTGTCCCAACATTCACAAGCTCTTGTCTGGAAAGATGAGCTCCAGTTTTGCGGAGTAACTCAATCACATTGTGATTCCTTTAGGAAAGAGCGGGAAGGGGAAAGTTTACTCTTCATCCTGTTTGTGCTTTAATATCTACACCACCTTCAATCCCTTGATAAGCAGGATCAGAGAGTAATTTCCCACATTGGTTTTCCTTCACGATGGGAGCCTGCAAATCACATCTATGGTAAAGAACATAACCTAAGAAGAAAAATGAAAGCTGTGCTGGGAAGACACCTTCTTGGATTTCTGAAGGTCATGGTGACTACTGGCTGTTTCTCCAGGCTCTTGGGCCAGGAGATCAGGTGATCTTGTTGATGTGACTTCTATGATTGGGGCATATTGTTTACTTTGGGAATCATGGGCCACTGCTTATAACCATTGTTTTAATCCTTGTATGCTACCCAGAGTCACTGTTGTGATATAAGTGGCCATATAAATTTATATAAATAAAATAAAATAAGATTTCTGGGAGTTGCAGTCCCAGTACTGCTGGGGGGCTGATTTACATCCATGCCCCCATGTTAAACCACCACAACCAAATTGGGAATTTTGAATTCAAAATATCCAGGTTTCAGTCACCATTAACCAAAAACAGCACCAAAGCTGTTCACATAGAGATATATGACCAGTGCGAGCCCAGAACAGTTTGCTGAAAGAGGTTAAATCATGTGGTATTTAGTGCCATATTTCCACATCTCATCAAGAGCAATACTTCAAAATATTTCATACTCCACACAGAGAATCAAGTCCTGTTTTCATGTATCTCCCTCACCTTATGGTGGGAAATGGGTCCAGTGGTTTTGCACCCTTTGCTCCCCTGGCTACTTCTATTATGCACTATAACCGTCTTCTTTTTTTCTTTCACAGTCCTCTCTGCCTTATTATTCCCACCCCCACTTCCTCCAATTGTACCTTGCTCTCAGTTATTTGTTACATCCTCACCTCTGGGCTCTGCAGTGCTTTGGATACAGTTCCCCAAAGATGCTTCAGAGTGCACAATCATAGCCCCTGTCTGCAAAGCAACCACTTCTTTTCCCAGGATCATGTGGCAGTTGCAGAGGCCAGTGTATGATTCCAGAAGAACATGTGGATGCTTTAAAGAGTTGCAAACAGGTGCTACGTTCATACTCTTGCATGCTGCAAAACACTTTTTTGGTAGCCAGTCCAAAGCACTGAATAGCTTAGTCACCTCAGATGCAAATCTGCAATGTGTTCGGAAAAAAATCGCAAAGATTAACATAGCCCATATAATTGATCAGCAATGTGGGGGGAAATGCTAGATAAATTATGAAGCTGGAGGAAGAGAAAGAAAACAGCAGAGAGCGAACATCAATACATTTGCTGCAAGTATGGAAATGTTACCATAAATCAGAGGCTCTTCCCATACTCATGAATGAGACCATTTCAGCTCAGCTGTTCCTTAGAAACCGCTGAAACAAAGCCCTTGCTGCCTGGTTGGACTGCCAGTTGTTTTCCAGTGCCTCATGGGCCAAAGTATCTCAATGCAAACCCAATTTTGAATTGTGCAGAGATGTGAAGAGACCGAGGCCACTTTCAGTTTTTGAATTCGTTAGTCACATTAACAAAGCTAAAAATAATAAACCATAAATCAAAATAAACCACCCAACCCCCCCCCCCCCACTTAGGCATCATTGAATATTTTTAATTCTAAAAATCAGCAAGCATTTCATTTTGTTAAAACCACCATTTGTGGTTGGAGAACCATGCTAAGTGGTCTTCCATACACATATCCCCCTTCTCTCTTCCATACTTTTCCTCTCATTAAAGAGACTGTTGAAAAGCACTTCAGACCCAAGTTGGGGCTTTTTCATGGGTACGGTAAGCTATTGACCCATTCCTAAAGGTGATATAACAGCTGCATTTCTGTCTAAAAGTAGAACCAAATCTCTGAAGAATGGAACAGAGGCTCCTTCTGTATCTCTAGTAGATAAGAAAGCAAATCATAAGATTTCAGTCAGATTTCTTCAGGGGTAAAAAGATTTAAAGCACCCTCTACCTAACTTAGGTTGTTAGGTATGTGTGAGACCTCTGAGGCATGAGCTGGAAATTTTTTCTTAGTTTTTTGTTTCCCGGGTAAGCTACATACACATTTTTTTTCAAAATATGTTTGTTATGTCTCTATTGCTGTGTTATTAAAATCACAATATCAAGGCAATTGCCCTTCTCCCAGAAAAAAAATATATTATTCAGTCCTTATTCCCTCAGCACAGATGTATTATTAACTGCTATTGCAATTACAGACCTCACACGTTTGCTCATTATCTTAAATACTTCGTTGCAAGTATTTCGTGAGAAACAAAATATCACCTTACATATTTTCCCCTTTTTCAGTTGGTAGCTAACTCATATTTATTTTTTATTTCAGCACACAACTTATCATTTCTATAAATAAATATTCATGGTAAGTGAAAAAAACTTGTACCTCAATTAGCACATACCATGATTGGGGGGGGGGGATAATTGGTTGAATTGTGAACCACCCTGAACTGCCGTTCATGATCCCTCTTTGTGGGCTCCTCAGTACTTGGAATAAAATACTCTGAATTTTACCCAAGTGTCAGTCCACAGAATGCCACAAGACTTTTTCCTGAGGAAACATCCATGGGATTTTTGCACTGTCAGTTCCACATGCCTCTAATTGCACAGGCTCACAGACGCCTTTCTGCACCATCAAGCTATTTTGTAATGCACATGCACAGCTGAAGACAATATGGAAATGCTGATTACACTACTTGAGTACTTGAAAACTCTTTTGAAGACATCAAGGGCTACAAAGAACTTGTTTAATATTCAGGTCAAAATCTGAAGCAGACAGACAACTCATCTGACACAGAAATGTATAATGACTGGGTGGAATTCTTACCAAGTTGCATATAATTATATACAGGTAAGTCAGTGCCTTGAATATGTAAACTGCAAGCCCCGTCTCATTTTTTGTGGCACAAATGCTGAATTTTCTGAAGTAATCACAACATGTCCCATTGATTTCAGTATAATTTATGTGTTCCTGCCCTGGATCCTGGATTATTTCAGATGAGAACTCAGTAGGCAGGGCTTAGGCAAGATACTAACTTCAGCCTCAGCTTCTCATCTGCATTATGAGATTGAACAGACTGTAAAGGTAAAGACCCACTTGGGTTCATCCCCTCAATGGGAAGCCCCCAGATGACACTCCTCAGAGCAGAATATAAATAGAACAGAGATAATCTACATTAGTCATACCACTGATCCACTTAAGAACTGCTATCAGAAATCCTTCTCACTCAATAAGCCAGAGAATAAACCAGAAATCTTTTACATGCAAAGCTATAGCACCACCCTAAACACTCTAAAACATTATTATACATGATAAAGATGATTATAGTTATTATGCTATGAGCAAGTATGAAGATTCCCTAATGCTGACAACTGACATTCTTTATTTCTGTGGAGTCCTTTGTGCTCTCTGAGCTTGGTTGTTTGCTTGTAGACATTTCATTACCTGACTAGGTAACATCATCAGTGCTAATGAGTGTGTGGTTTACTCCCTGTTTATGTACAGTAGCTTGCCCTGCCAGTGTTGGTGGGGGTGTGGTTTTCTCCTTGGTAGTTCCTTGAATGCTATGAGCAAGTATGAAGATTCCCTAATGCTGACAACTGACATTCTTTATTTCTGTGGAGTCCTTTGTGCTCTCTGAGCTTGGTTGTTTGCTTGTAGACATTTCATTACCTGACTAGGTAACATCATCAGTGCTAATGAGTGTGTGGTTTACTCCCTGTTTATGTACAGTAGCTTGCCCTGCCAGTGTTGGTGGGAGTGTGGTTTCCTCCTTGGTAGTTCCTTGATTAGGGTATTATTTTCTGCTTGATTGTTGGCCTGGTGTTAATCCCTGCTTATCTGGGTGTTGGTTGCTGGAGAGGATGTGTTCTGGTCTTTTTGTTTCCTTCTTAGCTTTTTTATTGTCACTTTTGGATGGTGTGTAATGTGTCTGTGTCTATGTGCCTATTTGTCTATGTGTCTATATGTCTAGGCACGTAACGATAAACCACATTTATACCCTAATCAAGGAACTACCAAGGAGAAAACCACACCCCCACCAACACTGGCAGGGCAAGCTACTGTATATAAACAGGGAGAAAACCCCACACCCACTCACACTGATGATGTTACCTAGTCAGGTAATGAAACGTCTGCAAGCAAACAACCAAATTCAGAGAGCACCAAGGACTCCACAGTTCAACCCTGAACTATATATATTCTCTTCTATTGGATTCTTTATTTCCACATATGTTTTTAAATGGTTTTTCATAGGCTCACTTGGGATTGGGAGTGCAAGTGACTCTTCATGGGAATGAGAACAGCAAGGATAGTTCCTTCTCTCCAGGAATTTAAAGACATGTTAATCCCACCCCTCAGCATGATGGACTTCATTCCATTATTTTATTTGGTTCTCTGGTGAGAAACAAGGATCTTGATCTTTTACATAGGCTTGGCAAAGTTTAAACATAGGGAGCAACAGAGTAGGAGGACTATATATTTAAAAGAGCCAGAACAAGGTGCATACTTGCAGATGACTAATAGCTTTACCATTTTTATTTGCCCTGTGTTTAAGAAATCATAGACTGTATAAATATCATTGGATGCTTATTTTGCCCCCCCCCCCCCAAAAA